TTTATAAATTAAATAGAAAACAAAAAACAACACAACTCCCAGCTGTTAAATCTATCTCAGCTCTCCTCATTATCAATGGAAGGACTTTCGTAACGAGCGACCATCTCAACAAACAATAAAGAAGAGACCAACCTCAAACCCTACTCCTACCCCAGCCCACTATTCTTAGTATTCTACTCTGTCTCATACTTGTGGTCGCTCGTTATGGTTATGGATATAATATCCTCCCTTATCAATTCCTACAGCTGTCTTATTCTCCCTCCTCTTCCCCTAAAAATATTTATTGTCTTTTTCCCTTGCTACAACTAATAAAACTAATGATCAGCGATGACATACCGACTTGACTGGCTATATATATATATATATATATATATGACAAGAGACAAACAAAGGGTCGGTGTTAGTGGGTTGTAAAAGAAGGTGAAACCTATTATTGAGACTGGCGCACTTCCTACCACAAATTACTGGTTGTAGTTGTACTATGGCGTCTTACCTTTATCTAATAAATTATAAACTCTAAACATTTAACTATTTTAAGACGATGAACACATTAACAACACACTCATCCATACATTGACTTTTTATCTACAACATAAAAACAAAGAAAAAAATGTCTGCAGGTTCCAATCCAAGTCATGGACAAGCCAATTCCCTGAGAGAGAGAGAGAGAGAGAGAGAGAGAGAGAGAGAGAGAGAGAGAGAGAGATCCCCACAAAACCTATTAAAGTGAACAGTCTGACTCTGGACTTCAGACATGCATGTATACACTAGATCTAGATCTAGAATCTAATCTAGATTCTACGTGGGCAAAAACCAAAAATACAAAAATCCTAAAACCATACACACATCGATAGAATAATAGAATACAACTTAAACAACACACGGACCCCGACAAACACACACTTGCCACACATACAATACAGTACAGAAGTCCATCACTCAGACTCAGCGATCTAAATCACTTAGCCACCATCTAGATCTAGTCCTATCCCTTCATCGGTTTCCTCCACATTACGTCATATAAAGCTATCACCTCCCCACACCTTGGTCCAGTAGCCCACCTCACCTCTCTCCTAGCCACCCGCCCCAACCAGTCCCTGTACCATTCTGGCCCTCCAGCCAAAGGAGCACTGACAATAGGCTCACCTTCACTAGAGATATCTACCTCAAACAACAGCCGCTCCCCTTCAACATTCAAACCGACTAAGAAATCATCACGTCTCACCTCAAATCCCAAGAACATGTGCGGTCCTTCCAGGCCATAGAACTGACCTTCCACCAAGTCAATACACTCTATTACTGATTCATCTGGGAGAAGTGACGCAAAATTCCCCATGTCGGCGGCAAAGACAAAGAGAAGGCAGGACTCTTCTACTTCAGTACAGGAACGAATCGATCTCTGGAAGACAAAGATACTAAAGATCGACGTGAAATCTTCAGAAAAGCGACTCGACAGCCAAACAATTGTTCTGGATAACTTGCAAATCGTCTAAAACTAAATGCAGTGAGTCAACACACTTCAAACAGAAGACAGCTTTTGCAACTCGCTACACTGAGCAAAATGGCGACCAATATGGCGACTGACTTGGACGACATCCGCTCAAAGATTTTTCCAACAATTCCTTAGTAAAATAAACCGGAAGTTTATAGAATGGGTGATAGCGGATGTACCTCATGAAAGAGGCAAAAAGCATTGTTCACTAAATTATGTCCATCACACAAATTAGATGCGCAAAATAAATTTAGATCTGTCTTTTTAAAGTTTTTTAAAGAGTTTTACGGCACTCACAACACAATAGGGTCATATAAATGCCGAAGATTAGAGGTGTTACAAGAAAGTAATAAACACAAAAAAGGAGGGGAGATAAAGACGATAGATGTTTGATAGGAAAGAAGAAGCAAACCACACTAGAGCACCCGCCAACCACCCACTTAAATCTGTTTGGTTTTTGGTTTTTAAAATAAAGTTGAGTCAACTACATGTATACAGCTCTATTTACCTAACATTATTATTTTCCTCATTAATTATAGTTATAATTAAAGAGTTTTACGGCACTCGCAACACAATAAGGTCATATAAATGCCGAAGATTAGAGGTGTTACAAGAAAGTAATAAACACAAAAAGGAGGGGAGATAAAGACGATAGATGTTTGATAGGAAAGAAGAAGCAAACCACACTAGAGCACCCGCCAACCACCCACTTAAATCTGTTTGGTTTTTGGTTTTTAAAATAAAGTTGAGTCAACTACATGTATACAGATCTATTTACCTAACATTATTATTTTCCTCATTAATTATAGTATAGGCTATGCTATTATGTTCAAAATCATAGATCTATACAATCATGTAGGCTAGGCCTGCTCTACCCTGTCCTGTATGGTTGGTGTAGGCGTACCGAGTCAAAACACCAACCTCTATAATACTGTCCCCGAGGTTTTTTTTTATGCACCCCGCATAATTTAGCAAAATATCATTTTTGGGGGGCATAATTTCTGATTATTTTCCTTTATCATTCTTTGTTTTAAAAAACAACAACAGAATCGCATAATTTCATATTTTTGGGGCTCAGTTTGCATAATTTCAGAATGTTTCTTGCATAAGAATAAAACGACAGGGAGAGATAATAATATTCACTAGGACAAGGTCATGTACCACAATGATCAGACTAAAAGATCTAGAAACTGCAGTTCGGAAACAAGGGTTCTGAAGAATGACGTAACTGTTCTAGAAGCGGCAGCAGCCTTTCGTTTGAGGATTTGCAAGAGTTTTACGGCACTTCTAACACAAATATAGGTCATTTATAAGTGCCAAAAATTAAAGGTAGTGCTAGAGAATGACATACACAGTAATGAATGAAGGAGGAGAGACAAGACAAAAATCGATAGATGTTTGATAGGAAGGAAGGATCCGACAAAGCACACCGGAGCACCCGCCAACCAGTGACCACCCACAACCTTTTGTACGAGCTTTCAGTACAGTCGAACCTTGTTTAAGGAACACCTAAAACATTCACCCGTGCAAACAACCACTTTCTGTCCCCGTAGGATTATGCGATTGTGCGGCCGCGATTTTTCGCGGAATTCTGCACATTTGCGTAATTTTGAATTCCCCGCTTTTTTTCACGTTTTTTTCCCCTTTTTTAAAAACAAAACAATTAATTCTATTAATTAACGCCTCGCCATGTGACTAAAGGGAAATAATCACCGTAATAAGTCTTATTTAAGTGAAAGGTTGGTTATTTCCCTTGGTAGAAGATCTTGGTTATGGTTTGGGATTTTGTTCCTTGAGCATGTTCAATTTTTCAATCCATCAAAAGTTGTTGTTCTCGTGTCTGCTGATGCTTCATGTTTGACAGGTGTTCCTGGTTTTAGTAATGTGCCAGCATCAGAGGTCCAGATGTCCTTTTTTTTTTTTTTTTTTTACATTTTTCTTTCCCAGATCTAGATCTAGATCCAGATCTAGATCTACAACTGAAAGTTACAGAGATTATATTTTTTAGTTGTTTTTTTTTTTTTTTTTACAGATGTGTATTGTTTTCTTTCCAAATACACTACAAATTACTGATACTGATATGTTCTGTTTTAAATCTTTCTGTACTTAAAACATAAAAGTCTTGAAAATCTGTGTTGAAAAAGTGCAAAACATGTCGCGAAAGGTGTTACGGTAACTTGCATAATTTGGCTTTTTTTGGGGCATTATTTGGCCATCTAAATTCGCATAATTCTACGGGGACAGCACTTTCCACTCCACCCCTCTTGCGTCTTTTTCTGTACAATAATACCATTCCATGTGTAATGACACTGTCCAAGACTTGAGCCGGATTGAATAATCTGTAGTCTACGCTTTTCTCCTACCTGCCCTTCCCATTTTATGAACATCTGTGGGAATACTTTCCTTTTGAAACACGCTTTGAAACAGAGGCTCGCTGAAGTAAGAGATCAGAATATGCTCACCCAGCACACTCGTCAACAAAGGATGGTAACACTAATACTTGACAAAGAGAGATAGGGGGAAAGAGAGAGAGAGAGAGAGAGAGAGAGAGAGAGAGAGAGAGAGAGAGAGAGAGAGAGAGAGAGAGAGAGAGAGAGAGAGAGAGAGAGAGACAGACAGACAGACAGACTGAGAGAGACAGACTGAGAGAGACAGACAGACAGAGAGGAGAGAAAATTGGAGGTTAGTGAGGGGGAGGGGGGTGATTAAAAAGATGACAAAAAGCCATAAAGGTGGCCTGTGATATCTAGTAAAACAATCAAGAAAAGAGACACAATCTAAGTGAATTCCCTTTATTTTCTTCTCGTTCAAGACAAACATGATGTACTTCGTCTGTTATGGAAGAGAAATAGAGAAAGAATCCGTCATCTACGCCAAGCGTCGAAGTCAAGCATTCTCCTTTTTTGCGGGGGGGGGTCTAATTTTATAGATGCCATGTCGGAGAGGACTAATTTAACTTTTTATTTCTTCCCAATTAATTTGTGGCCCAAGTCCCATATGGGGTCTGGACAGTGACAGGAGATGCATCCGTTGCTGTCTCTCTTCCTCTTTCCCCCCGCACAGACACAGTCCAAGTTTAGAAAACGTCGGCAGATAGTACCACGAGCGAGTTTGTTGGCTCCCACCTCCGGGCTAGGCATGCAAGCTGGGGGACAGAATTTTAAAAAAAAGTTTTAATCAGAATTTTACGGCACTTGTAACACAACTACATGTAGGTCATATTATAAAGAAAAGATGGAGATATAAGGAGGATAGAGGTTTGATAAGAAACACCACACCAGAGCACCCGCCAACCACACACATTTACCAATAGAAACCTAGAAAACAGATCCTTAGCGAAACACAATAAATAAAAATGATAAAAATACTACTACATTGTACTACTACTATAATAATAATAATGATAAAATAATGATAAGTAAATAAATAAATTAATTAATAATGATAATAATAATAACAATAATGATAATGATAATATTAATAATAATATTACATGAATAAATGGTAACAATAAATATAACAATAATAATAGTAGTAGTAGTAGTAGTAGTAGTAGTAGTAGTAGTAGTAGTAGTAGTAGTAGGAGGAGATGACTTGTGATTGTCTCCGTTAGGAATAGTACATTATTATTAACAATAGATTCAGTAATATATATATATAGCTCTATCCCATGCAAGTGATATAGAAATTTTTGTCGATGCTAAGTTAATAGCGAATAAACCTTACACTTACACACACACACACACACACAAGAAACAAAAAATTTGGATATGCACAAGAAAACTAGTTTAACTATATTAATATTATAATAGAGCATTGCATGATAGTCTAAGCCTGAAGCTCTAGCTTGTGGTGGTAAAGGCATGCAGGCAGCCACATCCACATTATAACGAGTAAATGTTACTGGAATTTGTCATTGATGCATGGACTGAAGTCTCCCTCCCCTGACACAGAGATAAGAATGGCAACGAGGAGAAGAACCTTCATCTTCATGTCTCTTTCAAGTCTCACAAGGTGCTCAGGAAAAGATCTGTTTTATCTCGCCAACACTTGCCATTTAAATACGTTGGTACGTCCTTGAATAACCTCTTCTGACTCCTACTGATAAAACTACAGGTTTTTGCTTTGTCTGGCATCTGCGTTTGTCGCGGCCGCGACCTGCGAATCGTGACAGCGATTTTTGGCATTTTTGGGTCCGCGATTTGTGTATTTTTTACAAAAAAGAAAAAGAAAGCACACACCGTCGGGGAATAAAAACAAACCAGGGGAAAATGGGGAATAAAAAAACTCTAAAACCCGAACCTCTTTACTTTTAACTTTTAGAAAGAAAGTTTATTTTCACTTTCGCTTCACTTCGTCTCTTACTCACTCGTTGACATTGAGTTGATTTATTTTCATGTGAAGAATATAAGTACTTTGCATTGCCTACTATTTATATTGCTGGTTCTCTTTCATTTTCCTATATGTTGTGTTTTAATTTGTTGGTGTGTTAATTGTTTTCTTGTCATTGTTCTGATGTGTTGTTTTCAATTTTTGTATTTATACATACAAGCGTAAAGTTATTTAATTTGGTACATGTATAATGTATAGTTCTTACCTTTTTTAAATACATGTATGTGGTATGTTAGAGCGTGTCTCCACCAAAACCGAATACAGTGGAGTCCACTTATAACAAGAAGTCTGTTATAATAAAGACACAATTCTAAAACCCCGTTTTTTTCTCCTCTTTACCTTTGTAAATAAAATACTGATATTATTGTGTTATAGCGCTATCAGACAAACATGCGAGTCGGTTATAGCGGAATATTGCTGCTGCTGTGAACAGTGGATAGGCCAATTATACATCATGCAAACCCTCGCCAATAAAGAAACTTGTTGGTTATCTTACGAAACAAAGAATAGGACAGCCCATGTGCGTCAACAATGAAGGCCGGAGCAACTGAGTAGGGAGGGTGTGGCATACGCAGACAAGCAGAACGCATCGCGTGATAGGCCAGCGTAAGCCTAGTTCAGATTATCAAGGCCTACCATGCCTCTCACTTCTCCGATGCGGAGATGGAGAGGTCTCATCAATGTGATGGACGGAGCGAATGTGTGACGTGCGCAAGCAGACAGAATGCATCACAGGGTGGGGTGGGGTGGGGGAAAACACAGCGGGGGAGTTAGCCCAGGGCCCTTTCCTTCTGATCGCCAACGCTGAGCTGTCAGTCCACATCGCTAAAGAAAGAAACCTGATTCAATTTTTGATCAAGTAAGACCAAGAGGTCTTGTTGACAAAATCATCATAAGGGGAGATAGCAAAAGGAAATAAACAGAACACCAAACTCATAGATAAGGCCTTCTTTACAGTTTCCCTTGAATTTATTACTGGATCCCTTATAGCGAGAATCCTGCTATAACGGACATTTTGCTCCGGTCCCCTCCCTCTCGTTATAACAGGATTCCACTGTATTGACACTGGCAGGCCTCTTGTGTGCGATTCCATATATAATACAATGTAATTTACTTGACCGAACATCCTATATTTTTACTTGAATTACACGCTTAGGGTTAAAACTGCCTATCCGAAGACTCGCGCCCTTATTTGTTATTTTTTTGTGGTTTGTTAATGAATTGTTCTAATTTTTATTTCATGCTGATGTGAAATCTTGATTTTTCCCCTTTTTACATCCTGTGTGACTACAAATGATATTCTGGATGCTTAAAACAGAGCACAAGAAATTCTGGGGCTTTAGATTTAGTTACCTCTATACATGTATCAACGTATTGCTATGTG